TTTTTGTGTAGGGTGTAAGTTGGTGATCTAGTTTCATTTTTTTGTATGTATCTGACCAAATTTCCCAGCACCATTTATTGAAGAGACTGTCTTGACTCCATTGTATGCTCTTGCCTCCTTTTTCAAATATTAATTGAGCATAATGGCTTGGGTCAATCTCTGGGTTCTCTGTTCTGTTCCATTGGTCTATATGTCTGTTCTTGTGCCAGTACTAGGCAGTTTTGAGAACCATGACTTGGTAATATAGCTTGATATCTGGTATTGTGATCCCTCCAACTTTGTTCTCCTTTCTCAGGATTACTGTGACTATTTGGGGTCTTTTTTTATTCCAGATGAATTTTTGGAGAGTTTGTTCTAGATCTTTGAAATATGCTGTTGGTATTTTAATGGGGATTGCATTGAATCTGTAGATTGCTTTGGGTAGTATGGACATTTTAATGATATTGATTCTACCAATCCTTGAACATGGTATGTTCTTCCATTTGTTTATGTCTTCCTCTATCTCTTTTTTTCAATGTCCTGTAGTTTTCCGAGAACAGGTCTTTTACCTCCTTAGTTAAGTTTATTCCTAGGTATCTTAATTTTTTTGGTGCAATGGTAAATGGGATTGTCTTTTTTTTTCATTTCTCTTTCTGTGAGTTCATTATTGGTGTATAAAAAGGCCATAGATTTCTGGGTGTTAATTTTGTATCCTGCTACATTGCCGAATTCATTTATTAGGTCTAGTAGTTTTTTGATGGAGTCTTTGGGGTTTTCTATGTATAGTATCATGTCATCTGCGAATAAGGACAGTTTTACTTCTTCTTTTCCAATTTGAATGCCTTTTATTTCTTCTTCTTGTCTGATTGCTATGGCTAGCACTCCCAGTACTATATCGAACAGGAGTGGTGAGAGTGGGCATCCCTGTTTTTGATGATTATTAATTAGGACATACTTGATGTAAAACATTTAGAAAATCCACCCTTATAACTGAAAGATAGGCTTGAAGATTTTTCATGTGTATTTTTTTCAGTAAGCCTCATTGACTTCTGGGCAGACTTAGCGTTTACAAGGGGGTGGGGCTTGTTTCGCAGTTAAAGTTATTTCTAAAGGGAAAGAAACTTTCCCCCTCTAGTGTGGTCTGCAGGTGACCATGGGGGATGGAACAGACCTGCACAGGCCCAGGTCCAGATGATGAGGCAGGGCAACATGACTGGGTTGTGGGTGTGGGAGGTTGATCAGAGAAACTTCTGGAAGCTACAGGACTCAGAACCAGATACCGCATCCATACAGAGGTCTCCTGCAGCCTCGGCATGTCACAGCAGTGCCCTGTGAGTATATACGGTAGCTCCAGGCCCTGTGAGGAAGAAAGGTCTGGGCACCCTTTGACCCGCCTCAGAGTGGTTCTCGGGTCTGAGCCCCAAGGCTGTGAAACGTCAGTGGCAGTGGCATCATCTGATGGCTTGGGCCCCAGTGCCCTGGCCTTGGGGTGTGCCAGCGAAATCCAGAGAAAGGATTGAAATCTAAGTACTACTCCTTGGAACATGAGCTTGTGGAATCTGAGGGAAAGATGAAAGAGACCTGGAGATCAGGAGCCCTGGGTTCAAGTTGGGACCTTGCCTCTGATGCACTGTCCCTCCCCAAGGCGGGCCCTGCCCCTGACCCACTGAGCCTCTCTGCCCCTCCCCAAGGTGGGCCCTGCCCCTGACCCACTGAGCCCCTCTGCCCCTCCCTGAGTCAGGCCCTGCCCCTGACCCACTGAGCCCCTTTGTCCCTCCCCGAGGCGGGCCCTGTCCCTGATGCACTGAGCCCCTGTGTCCTCCCCGTTTGGATGCTGGCAGTGAGGGTGCTGTGCCGCAGGAGCAGAGCTGAGGTAGAGGCAGTAAGAGGGCTTTGCAACCCTGGCCTTGCTGCGGCAGGTGAGGAGTCTGTGGTCCCATCCTTCCTCGTCCCTGTGTCATTCTCTCTGCCTCAAGGCTATCACAATTCCTCCACAAGAACCAGCCGACATGGCATCCAGAGAACCCCGCCATTCCTCTAAGTACCTGCTGTTTTTGTGGGTTCATGTTGGGGTAGCGGGAATGCTTTGAACAAGGGCAGCCTGGACATAATCCTGTGCTTAGAGACTCGTCAGTTTATCTTCAGGCGGTGTTTCTGCTTCAGCAGACACCCTGAGCAGCTTGCATTTCTAATTTCCTGTCCCTTCTTTGCTTCTCCTTACAAATCATAACGTGCCGATGCCCCAGACTTGTTTCCCTCTGGCTCTTTGTTATAAAATGCCTCTTGGTCCTGATCGAGTGGCCGTGCCAGGCATTCTGTTCCCAAGGAGGCACCTGGCTATGGTCCCCACCTGAAAGGATGTTCTGTCCTCTCTCTCTGCCTCGGGCCCCCTCTCCTGGGCCCATTAAGTTCAGTGTCAGATCACCCTTGCGTGGGCAGGGAAGATGGGGGAGCTTCCCTGCTGAGGTTGGTGAGGTGCCCGGGGCTGCGGTGGCCTCCCTGCACCCCAGCTTGTGCAGGAGTGAAAACCCTTCTGAACCAGCTGAGCACCCTCTCGGGGGCCCCCGCCTCTCTCTACCCAGATGGACCCCGCAGTGGGGGGCTGTGTGCCCATGGACCCGCAGCTCTCTGCAGCTGCTGCTCTGGGTCCTGACGGCTCCCTGCCCAGTTCCCGCCCACGTTGAAGGCTGCGCAGCCTGAGCCGCACCGACCTTCCCTCATTCCTTGTCAGGCACGGTTTTGTTCCTGAAGCCCTGCCGTTCGGGCGCTGTACGAGGTGGTCCTGGGAGACCTCACAGACCCAGGGAAGGCTGACGCACCCCACACCGCATCCCACTGGTTCTCCGGGGAGGAAGGAGATGAAACCTGGGCTCGATGGCTTGTGAGGTGTCCAGGGGTTCCACAGGCACCCCTCTGCCTCCACCGTCCTTGCAACCCTCTCCTCCTGTGAACGCTTCTGCTCTCACCCCCTGGCGTGGTCCAGCCCCTGGCTGGAGGGTTCCTCCTCTGCTGTGGTGGCCCACGTCTGTTTGGTAGAATTTTAGCCGGTTTGCAACCTGGAGCTGACACGAACCATTTGGAAGAAATATGGTAAGATGAGCAAACAGTTGCCCGGCTGCATGGCAAGTCCCTCTGCGATCCCATCTGCGCAGGCTTCAGCGGCTAGAAAGGCTCCCGCAGCTCAGTTGGCTTGGGAAGCTTGTTTTTGCCAAGGATTTTATCACCAAGCAGGCGCCAGAGCGCGGTTCCACTCATAGTCCATTCTGGCGAAGCTCAAACAATGAACCTGTGTGTTCTGCGTGTGAGAATGTCCGAAGGGAATGCCTTTTTCCTCACCAGGATCAAACTCCCGGCGCCCTTTGTGATATGCGAGACCTCAAGGAAGGCCTCTCCATTCCCAGACTCGGAAAAATGTGTTAGAACAAGAAAACGGCCCGCTCTGGCCCACCGGGGCCAGGTCTCCGGTTTTCCTTCCACTGAGCCATAAGCTTCACCACACAGATCCTACCCTGTGACTGGTCAGGGAAACTGTCATTATGGGAGGCCAGCGGGGGGCATTTCCAGGCTGGGAGCAGAGAAAGGGGAGGCAAGGGGATTGGGCAGGATGCCTTCCCCACCCTAAGGATTCTCTAGGGAAGTAAAAACAGGTGAGATGTGGTGTGATGCTGAATACTCCCTGCCCCATTCCTGCCCCTTGCCCACAACAAAGGGCCCTCCGTCCTTCCTCCAAACCACTGACCCCGCTGTTGAGACTGCGCGTCCGGGATGTGGAGCCTGGACTCGCCCCTCCCGCTGCCCACCCTCGCAGCACACAGGGGCTTGAGATTGGGGAGGTTGGAGAACAGAATAACCAGTACCCCGACCATGTCACCCCGGGGAAGTTTCTGAATCCGCCCTCCCTTCCCCAGATAGGGCCTAGCAGGGTCTCCTGGCTCTGACATCCCCTGAACTATGGGTCTAGACTGGATTTCTAAATCTGCCTGGAGGGAAATTGAAATTGAGGTGATAGTCCCTCTAAAGTCGTGGCTGACTTTCACCTAAACCATGGGTAGGAGTCCTGAGCCGCTTCAAGCCTCCACCCCTCGCGCAGCCTGATAGGCTTGGGGCCCTAAAGAATGAGGCTGGTTCTAAAGCAGAAATGATTTTGTTTCAGGCTGTGCGTAGCTTCCTACGTCTTTACCAGATCAGCACTCAGAATCGTCTCCCCTTCCTTCTCTCTCCTCTCTTTTTTGAGATCACAGACAAAGACAAGAGGGTAGAAAGTTCCACCTGCATTGTTATTATCTTAAGAAGTGGACTCTGGAGCCAGATGCCTGGGTTTAGCCCCTACTTTATAAAAAATATATATATATATATTTTTTATTGATTTCAGAGAGAGGAAGGGAGAGGGAGAGATAAATAGAAACATCAATAATGAGAGAGAATCATTGATCAGCTGCCCCGTGCATGTCCCCTATTGGGGATCGAGCCCACAACCTGGGCAAGTGCTCTGACCAGGAATCGAACCATGACCTCCTGGTTCATGGGTCGATGCTCAACCACTGAGCCACACTAGCCGGGCTAGTCCCTGCTTTTGCTGCTTACTAATTGTGTGACTTTGGGCAAGTTACCGAGCCTCTCTGTGCCTCAGTTTCCCAGCTGTGAAGTGACTGTCATCTCACAGAGCACCTGACTCTGGGGTGTGGTGAGGAGGGACAGGCCCCTCCGGGGCAGTGCTGCTGCATCCCGCGTCCATGCAGATGTGAGTGTGGCAGTGGCGATGCCATCCTGTGGAAGTGGAGGATGCTGGGAAGAACCCGAGGCTTGGCATCAGGAGACTGGGTCCAGGTCCCAGCTCTGCCACTTGCCTGTGTCAGGGTACAGATTCTGAACCTCAGAGGGCCTCAGTTTTCATAGCTAGAGAACTGGGGGCTGAAACCCTATCTCCCGCCAGGGCGGTGGTGCAGACCCAGGGGAGCAGTGCTGGCAAACGGCTTCACCCCCACAAACCGGACTAAGTCTGTTCTCTTTCCCCTTCCCAGGCACACATTCTGGCAGTTCCGCCATGAGAACCCCAAGACCCGGGTTGGGGGCCCGCCGCCCAAGGGGCTCCCTGGCTTCAACAGTGGGGTGATGCTGCTGAACCTGGAGGCCATGCGCCAGTCCCCGCTCTACGGCCGCCTGCTGGAGCCGGCACAGGTGCAGCAGCTGGCCGACAAGTACCACTTCCGAGGCCACCTCGGGGACCAGGACTTCTTCACCATGATCGGCATGGAGCACCCCGAGCTCTTCCACGTGCTGGACTGCACCTGGAACCGGCAGCTCTGCACCTGGTGGAGGGACCACGGCTACAGTGACGTCTTCGAGGCCTACTTCCGGTGCGAGGGCCACGTCAGGATCTACCACGGGAACTGCAACACCCCTATCCCGGAGGTCTAGGTACATGCTCCCCCGTCTTGCTCTTCAGATCTGGGGGAAGGGGAGGAGCGGGTGCCTCTGGGACAGGCCTCCGGGTGGTGTCTGAACCTCTTGAGAGACACTGCGGGGAGGTCCTCTGTGATCAGGTGCTGCAGCTCTCCTACCCGTGGGCCACTGTCCTGAGGCCACCCAGCTGGAGTGGCCTGCACATTGCTGGTGCTTGGGGACTTTTCCCTCTGGGGGACAGGCATCAGGAAAGGCAAGCACAGAGACATCTTCCCAGGGGCTAGGGGGCCAGTGTTGGAAGAGAAGGAAGGGAAGAAAACCGTGCCCTTTGCCTTCAGCCCCCAGAGAATGGAAATCCTTTTAAGAACAGGCCTTTCTTGGACAAAATATAAATTGATTTTAAATTGACAGGCTTCCATTTTGAGAGAAAGAACAAACAGAACTTCTGCAGCTCCCAGTGAGCTCTGAGCCAGTGAACCAGAGCTGGCCCGGATTTTAAGCATTCAAACGGAGGCGACCTCCCACGTGTGCCCCCAGGAGGCTGCGCTCACGCCCAGGATGCTCACGTTGCCTGCTGCAGGGGTGAAGACCGCCGCCTCTTTGGAGAGGGACTTCAGTGCCAGCGGTGGCCCACATCCCAAAGCTGGTCTCATTACATGGCCTTCGCAGCTCTCACCTCCCAGCTGCGTCACAGGCCTCTGTATCCCCTATTCGGCTGGGCCAGCTCCAGGGGACGAGACTGTGCTCAGAAATCAAATCCGTCATCAAAGAACAGAGGTCGGCCACCCCCGAGGGCATGCAGTGGGGTTGTCTGGGCTGGGAAGACTCATTCCAACGAGGAGCCCAGCCGTGCCTGCGTGTGACCATGTGGCTCGGACGGGCTGGTGCTCTGAGGCCTGTAAGCATTCCAGTCTCTGTTTAAAAAACCCTCCTCCAGACTTTCCCACTGCACAGGTCAGACCTGCCCCTTAGAGTCCAGCTGAAGTCCTTGGGGAAGACATGTTGCTGGATTTTCATCTTATTTTATTTCAGGTTCATTTACTTTTTTATTTCCTTTCATCGTGAGTGAGAATAGCTAATAAATAATCTTCAAGAACACAGTTTATTTATGTTGTTTGTGCTGTGCTCGCAGTTTTCCGTTACACGAAGGTCCTGTATCGAAATCGAGGGTCATCCGTGTGGCTCGGACTCCCTTCTGCAGGACTGAGCTGAGTGAGAGGCCCCTGAGGGCTAAGGGAGAGCTTGCCTGGGAGGGGGCGGGAGGGTGGTAGTTACATCGAGAATCATTTTATTCTGGTCGGCAGGCCCTTCTGCTCCTGGGAACAAAAACAACCGCATCCTTTCTCACTCTCCTTCCCCCAAACTATCCCTTGACATCATCCCCTGACGAAGTGGAGCGCATTTCTCTCCTAACTCAGCTCCGACAGAATCGGTCTGTTCCCTGAGGTGCTTGGTTTCCTATTTATAGCTTCCAGTCATCGAATGCCTGCCGTGTACCAAGCATTGCATTGGGGATTTATATACACCATCGACAATACTCATGAGTACCTCACGAAGGTAATTAAAATTCTAAATTTACGGTAAGAAAATAATGAGTGCTGTGGACAGAGAGTCATTGTCACAGCTTTTTTCTATAATAGTGAAAATTGGGACCAAGTTAAAATGTTAACTAGGGAGGAGGTAAATAATGTATGTTACATCCATATAATGGAATACTTAGGCATTAAAAATCATATTTTTGAAGAGTATTTAATGTACTGGAAAATGTTTACAATATGCTATTAAGTAAAGAATAGAAAATATAGATGATATGTACAGTATGTTCCTAATTTTATTTTTAAAATCACATGTGTGTATGTGTGTGTATATAAAAAGAGAGCCTATTCTGCTTTATTTTATTAAACTCTTAAAAAAAACCATGTTTCAAATACCATAGTTTTTAAAAACCCCAATTATCTCAATGGGAAAAAAAAGTGGACAAAATGCTAGAGCACTAGACTCACAATCACAAAGGTATTTTTCCTGAAATAATTTCAATAATTAAAGTGTTTCTATAGCTCTGAGTGTCGTTTATTGCCAGGGAAAAACAATAGACTAGTTGATCTAAACGGGCAAAAGCCAAATAAATTTTCCGTATGTGTTTTTGAGATCACCAACTCAGGAGCTGTCCCCTCCTCTGTCGCCAGTGGGCTTGACCTTACAACTTCATGGTAAGCAACACAGTCGCCCCACAGGAAACCCAGTCAGACCAGCAAAGCCACCGTGTGCGCCTGTGTTTTCACGAGCAGCCTTCCGGCAGATCCTGGCAGGCTGGTTCCTGATCGGATCCTGTTACAGGCAGGGCAGCACACGCATGCTCACTGTGCTGTGTTTAATTTGTCTCATAAAAATGTCACTGTAGAGCATGTGCCTGTAGCAGTCAGAAAAGAGAACATTTCTGGGTAGTGGGATTAAGGTGCTTTTTATCTTCATCTGTATTTACTTCTGTATTTCCCATAGTGAAGTTAATTACTTTTATAATAAAAAAAATACACGCTATAAAATGTTAGTCACCCACCTTCCCCCACTCTGGCCACTTTACAGCTTGCGGTTGGCATGGTTACCACCACCCATGAGAAAACATAATCCCAGCTAAGTAGGCTCTGGGTTTCCAGCCTTCCCTATGGATGCCCCAATTCTCTAAGTACAAGTGACCTATAAGAGCATTTCCAGACTCTGCTCTCACTTCTGATACCATCATCTTTTGTGTGTATACAAATAATGATGGCCTTTGGAGAGCTCGTGGCTTGTGGATAGGATTCATTCTTGAATAGGTGTCAAAACCAAACTACAGCATCCCCTGCAGTAGCATCTCGTCAAGCCAGGAGTGGCGTGCTGGCTCAGCGGGCCCCAACCTAGAGTGCCAGGCGTTTGTGGGTTAAGGGAGCAAGTGCAGCTGTGACTCAGCATCTGCTTAAATGAAAGGCCAAACTTCTGCTCATTCTAACACCCCCTGGCCTCCTGGCTGACCTCAGCAAGGGAGGCCCAGAGACGGGGCTGAACGTGGAGTATGGCAGGACCAGCAGAGTTTTCTGAGAAGGCAAGGTGGTGTGGTAGAGAGACCCTCGCACCTAAGACAGAGGCCTGGCTTTGAGTTCACCTTCTGCCCTCACTACTTGGACAACCTTGGTCAAGCAAGGTCACCTCTTGCCCCATTTGTAGACATTAGTAAGGACTCCCTCAAAGGAGTGTTGTAAGGGCTTGGGAGTTTATTGGGTAACATAGGTTAATAACATTATGTAAGTGTAAAGTGTACATTCTCTAATACATCACCTGTATCCTCTGTCGTGTGCTTCCACCCAAAGTCTGGTCTCCTTCCATCACCACATATCTGCCCCCCTTTACTCTCTTCATCCTCCCCGCCCCATCCCCCTCCCTCTGGTAACCACCATCCCGCTGTCTGTGTCTATGAGTGTGTTTAAAGTATTATTTATTCTCTTAAAATAATAAATGACAGCCATTTGGGCACATTAACTGTTGGTGACATCTCCCTAGACCCAGGCACTTGCTTGTAGGCTGCCCTGCCTTGTGGTTATCTGCACATTGACCTCTCCATCTACATGGTTTGTGAGGATGGAGACCTTGCAGTGTCACCTCGGCATGGCCCCCAGCTCCTGCTCAGGCCTGGCACAGTTCAGGCAAGGGGAGCAGAGTTCCCTGGGTGCTCACGCTGGTCTGCTGTTTGATATGGGATGTGGGTGAAACCAGAGGCCCCAACACTTCCCTCTCACCTTTTCTCTCCACTTCCTGCGCACCTTTTTTAATAACCTCAGGCATAGAGGGTTGAGTACCCCTCCTCAATCCATGACCCATCCAACCCTCTCGCATCCAACCCTCAATCCATGACCCATTAGGCCCCTCTCACATTTTATTTATTCACTAGAGGCCCGGTGCACGAAATTAATGCACGGGTAGGGTCCCTAGGCCTGGCCAGCGATCAAGGCCCATCTGTGGGGCAATGGGCAGGGTGATTGGGGGCCCCCACTTGCACCCGCCTTGGCTGGCCGCCACCACTGTTAGTCGGGGCCTGCGGGCTGGGGGCAGCTCCTGCGTTGAGTGTCTGCCCCCTGGTGGTCAGTGCATGTAATAGCGACCGGCCATTCGGCCATTCAGTCGATTTGCATATTAGGGTTTTATATAGATAGATTCCCATTCACCACCATATCCCACTCCCATCTCCCAATGCACAGTCATTCTAATCTGCTTACTTGTTAACTTTCTGTGTTCTTTCAAAATGAGATTGTGTTTGTATGTGTTTTAGTTGGGGTAACTCTTAGAGTTTCTCATGTTCTTTCATTCGGCGCTGTGTTGCTGAGGTCCCTCCCCGTGATTGTTGCTGCTGCCCTTACTCTGTGGTGTGCTCCTGCCACAGTCTGCCTGCCCTCACCCACACTGATGGAAACACATATAACCTGCCACCTACTCACCCCACCCCCCACCCCCACCAAGTGACCCTGCCATGGACAGCCTTGCCCCGGGTCCTTGTGGACCTACTCAGAATGTCCTTGTGTTGTTAATCCAGGAATTAAACTGCTGGGTATAAGACGTGCAGATACCTGCACTTCTACCTAAGTGTTGCCAGTTGCTCCTCAGGGCGGTCGCCCTCTTCCCACTTTCACCGGCATGAGCCCTCACTTTCACTGCATGACTGTGCTCAGGTTCACACGTGTCTGTGCATTGACACACATGTGGTCCTATGATCATTATGGAGTCCTCCAAAACGTGTGGCCAGAGTTAGAGCTGCTCTGTGTGTGGTATCATATTGCCTTGGAAAGAGGCTGGGGCCCTGGGTTCTGGTCCTGACCTCACTATGACCTTGGCCAGAGGACCCAGTTCTGTGAAAATGGGCGAGTTCTGGTTCCTGGCCTTGCCGCCCTGGGACAGCTGTGATAGTGGGTAAGATAACTCACAGGAAAGGACTTCCAAGGCCCTAGCTCCCATGCACTGCCGCCCGTCCCCAGTGCCACAGCTGCTGTCAGGCGGGTGCTCCCAGCTTCCTCCACGGAAGCTCTGCCACCAGCCCCAGCCCTGCCCAGGGGCATGTCCTAGCCATCTGGCCCCACACCCGAGCTGCCCCCAGGGTGGAACCCCGTGTCTCCCCATTAGGGCATCCTGCCCTCTCTCAGGAAGGCCTTCTCTCTCACACCCAGGCCGCCAACCCTCTGACTGTCAGCCAGCCAGGGCCTGGCACTTTCCAGAGCACGGAATGCCTTTACACAAGGTACAAGGCCATGACCGAGTTTCTGCAGAATGCCCATGCTCTCAGGGCATGCTGTCAGCGGCGTAGCAATCTGTTCGAGCAGCAGTCTGAGCCAGAAAGTGGCAGAAATGTCAATAACCTCCCAAGGCTACGTGAACACGCTTTGAAACACATAAGTCCTTGTTCACAGCCATGGGCAGGCAGCTTCGTGGCAAACTTGGGTCCATCTCATCCTGCACCTCCTTTCAGGAGAACCAACCTTGCCTCTAAGCCTGAAGCCATGACAGCCCTCCCTCCAGGCATCCCTTCTGGGTGCCTCTGTGGTCTCTCCCCACCTGCCTGCCTTCCCTGGCCCAGGAGGGAGGAGCGCCAGGGCCTGCTCCAAGGAGAGCCGGAGTGAGGCTTCCAGAGCCTGTGGGCCCGTGGAGGTGGGAGGACGTATAAGAGATGGTGACCCTTGTGGCTGGGGTTATGGATGGGATCACCTTTACCCTTTCTCAAGAAAGACAAATACAGATTGGCCTTGCTCTTTTACTAAGTTTGACTGCAGGGCTGCAGGTCGTTCGTTGGATGCCACAAAACCTGAGACTGGAGGGGCCAGGGGTTTGCTGCACAGACACCACTGCAATCCTTTTGCCTCGTCCGTCATCCGACGACTGTCGTCTGTGCGCTCCGTGAAGGCAGGAGCTCTGGCCCCTGTGTGCTCCCGGCACCTGACGGCGCCTGCAGGCGGTGGTCTCATGACATCTTTGTGGCCCCCTTACCCATGGGGGATGCCTCCCAAGACACCCAGTCAATGCTGAAACCACAGATAGTACCGAACCCTATTATGTTATGCTTTTTTCCTGTACATACATACCTGTGAT